TTATCTCTCTACTGGGTGTTGCAGTCTCCATATGAATTGTTGGTACTTCCCTAATGCCTACTGTGTACTGTTCCTTTCCATACGGTGTGCTGCAGTCTCCATATATATATATTGGTGATATCTCTGTACTGTGTCTTGCAGTCCCCATATGTGTTGGTGTTATCTTTCTACTGTGCGTTGCAGTCTCCACATATGTTCGTGATATCTCTCTACTGTGTGCTGCAGTCCCATTATATTGGGGTTTTCTCTCTACTGTGTATTGAAGTCTCCAAATGTTTGGTGATATCTCTCAACCGTTTGTTGCAGTCTCCACATTTGTTGGTGATATATCTACTGTGGTATGTTTATTCGGTTGACCTGTGTGGTAAAAAATTGTGTTGTGTACCTATTGGTTTTTTGTGTTCTTTGGTGAAAGTTGTTTGATGTGAAACAGTAACCGTTGCGTTTTTCTGTCTTTTTTTATGGGCACTGCCCTTGAGTCCTCCAGTGGACAGTGTGTTTAATGTTTCCTTTTCTTTTATATTGCTGACATGTCGATTCCCTTTTTCACTTCCATTGTTGGTTCGGCCAAAAGCTTCTGCGTGTTTGACAGTTTTAGAGATGTAGCTTGTCAGCTTCCTTTTCGTATTTGCCCGGGTCGTGGTGTAGGTCGCAGGCGACAACGGTCTGCCCTTACGTCACTTACCCTCGGCGCACCCAGGCAGTGTTTAGGTTTACAGAGGGGATGAGCGATTGTTCGTCCGTCATCCGTCTTCTCGGGAGAGTCGTGTCAGCGTGGACACTGGCACATCCCGCCGACCGGTCTCGGCCGGACCGGACAAATTCATTACTTATCCCGACACCCCGGCGCGGACACGGATGGGGAGGGGAGGGGGAGGGTAGGACAGGGTCGGACGGACGGTACTGGATGCCTGTTTGGAGGGTGGGGCAGAGCAGGAGGGGTGGTGAGCACCACGCTCCGAGCAGAGGACAGGTAGGATGGGAGGTGTACCAGGTCCAGCCCGTGCCCAGCCCAAGTGTTTGCTCTTCTCAGACCACAGTCACCACTGTTACCAGAAGCTGCCCAAACCGGCAGGCACCTGACCCTCAGAGAATGGAGCACCGGTCATCCGCAGACCAGCAGCTTTGTGACCGTGTCCGAGCGGTGTTTGCACGCGCGACGCACGAGCGCCCGGCACGGTGGGCTATTGTTGACTCGCGTCACGGGGACAATGGGAGGTTAGCTGTCCGGGCAGCTAGTGGTCAGATAGGTGACAGCGGCGATGGGATGCGAGCGAGCGCGACACGTAGTCAGACATTTAACGTGTCACCGTGACAAACGGTGGGTATGTAAAGGAAGCAAGGAAGGGTGTTACGTAGATCCCCGTTATAACTCAGCTCCTGAGGGGTGCTTAAAATCGCTGCGGGTCTTCACTATGATGAAATGAAAAGGAACGACGAAGTGCGAAAGTAAATTTTACGTTAGTGAATACAGGCACGTTCCTTAGAATTGGTCGTCACCGTCCCAATAAGATGGGTGGTCTATCATAATAACATTTTCACCCCTCAATAAATGTACGAATGTTTCGCACCAGAAGATATTTAATGAATTTCTAGCTAGAAAGGGGCAGAAATATTGATAATATGTTCTCTCATGCCTTTCCTTTATATTCCAATGTTGTGTTTTCATCATTGAACTTTCGAAGGTCATTTTGGTAACGTAGTTGATCATACCCGTTTTAAAGTTTGGCGATAGACACACAAATTTAAGCGCCACCAGAGCTTCGATACCATGCTGCAAGTGTTTGAGCTGCATGCATCACTGCCGACTCCCCGCGGCTCGTACCGTCTGTATCAGACGGTAGGTATGCTGTTCCCACCGGTTCATCGTTCAGTTTTGAGGCCGAGTGGCGCAGTCCGTGTGAACGGTACGTGGGAGCCGGCTGAATCACGAGCGCTGATGAACAGTTCATGGCGGCGACGGATCCACGCGGGTTATTCACGAACGAATGGCGGGACGATGGCGTGGGGCCTCGCATCGAAGTGTCTAAGCTTCAACCGAGCAGCGACAAGTTCAACGGAACAACGGAGCATTGTGAAGTAAGCGATATACCTAGCTTTTTTAATGGCAAATTTGGGAAGGCAGACGGTTTGAGGAAATTTACGAAGAAATTGTGTGCTTCATAGGGTTTTCATTAAAAGTTGATCTTACACACATCAAATCTGATAACAGATAATCAACAGCAGCCTCACTTCTGATCCATGACACTATGATCGCGTCTGACCCCGAAATGCCGCAGGGTTAGGGGGTTACCAGACTCAGCCACTGAGTTCAGCTGCTCAGGGAAGGCTGCAGTCGTTTCGCCTCTGTGCGGCCCACGGATCGACCTCGGGTCGGCACATCCGCCGGCTCTGCGGCGGACGGTGCCCCCGTTGCGGATCGGGTTATCACCGGAAGATCCGGCGTCCGACCTGGCTGCGGCCGTAACGCGCTCCCGTGACCCGTGCCGTCACCGACACCCGGCAGTGGGCTGATCTGTCAGTGGGGTGACGGACGCCGCCGGGGTCAGCGCCGCGGGCGGACTGCAGGGCTGCAGGGTGGCTGCGGAGGATCCCATGACGCAGGGTCGCAGATTTGAGCAGTAGCGAGCCTGTCAAGGACACGGGATAGGCCTTGGAGTTGGCAGATGGAACCTATTTATGGCTGCACCGCAGACGGATGCATGCACCCAGTGGAGCCCCATTGTGGTCGGTAAGAGCTTCGCGTGGAACCCACTGGGGCCTCATAGTCGACTCAACTATTGACGGCAGGAGAATGTACGGCATTGTTCCTGACAGGACGCTTTCGTGTCGTCCCAGCTCGTGTTCGTGCATGGACCCATTGTGATGGAACAAAATAATGCTAGCAATCTGGATATTTGCTCCGTTAGACGCTTGTGTATATACTTTCACAGCAGCACGTCAGCTATGGTAAGGTTGCAATGAAATTCACAGAGTTTCACAATGATCGCTTTAAAATGTGGCTGGTATTGTCTGAGTCTATTGTTTGACGTGTAGAGGAAGCACTGATATATTACGTTTCTTGCATGGACTGATATACGTACAATTTCGCGCATATAATGATAATAATTGTAATAAGTATAGCGGAGTAACGTCCTTTTTGGTTTCCCATGGTGATTATAATTTGTGTTCATATCTTCAATCGTCGTTCATTTTATCACTTTTCTTCAGCACTTAAATTATAGTGCTTTAACTTGTCATCAAAATTGGTCCTTCCCACCAATAAATCCTCGACCCATTAGGCTCAAGTTTGTCTTATGCTCATCCTCAGCCATCTGGTTTTGGCCAGTTCCCAGCGTGCCTTCCGTTCTGTTCTGAGCACGCCCATCAATTAGTCAGGAGCTGTCGCCGTGGGCACGGCCGGTGGCTTATCCCTGCTGCGATAACCGTCCGGCTCGCGCCCAGCCGGGCCGTCCCCCTCTGGCCGAGAGTGGCCCCCACCGCTCGTAATCGTCGCCGGGAGCCGGGGGACACGGCACGGGCCCGGCCCGGCCCGGGCGTCAGAGGCAGCACGCGCCACCGGAGCCCGGCGCGGCCCGTCCCTGAGCTATTGACGGGGGTGTTGATACGATTACCCATCGGCCGGCCCCCCGCGGAGTGGCTGACAAGTTTGGCGAGGGGACGACGGGAGAGGGCGGGGAGTAGGGAGGGGACCTGTCTGGGATCCGCCCAGGATCTGCGAGAACTCGTGGCTGCTGGCACGGTCCAGGTGTGCTATGAGGGCTGGGATCAGGCCAGCAAGGATAAACTTAAAACTAGGTAATTCATGAAATCAGAAAATGTAGACGAAGACGGTGGACGCTGAACGGAGAAGAGGAGAGATACACGACAGAGAACGGGAAAGAGAAAGAAGAGAAAGATAGAGAGAGAGAGAGAGAGAGAGAGAGAGAGAGAGAGAGAGAGAGAGAGAGAGAGAGGAGAGAGAAAGGTGATTGATGAAGAAGAAAATTGAAAAAACCGAAACGAAACCGAAGACGGAGAGGAAAGCGTACACGTAGAAGGGACGAAGAGCACTATTCAATTCGAAGAGCGGCGAGCGCTTGTATTTACAGACGTTTGACGATCAAACCGGAGTCAGTCTGCGGCTGACCGTCGCCGACTGATCTGATGTCTCCCGAGACGGACCAAAGTGGCGTCTGGGTCAATCTGATGGCTCCCCTCCCCCGCTTCCCCATTGATGCCGTGCTGATGGCGACGGGTGAGCGCAGGCGCCGGGTGACCGGCACCGCACGTGAGGTCGGCGCTGATGACGCCTGATTGCCGTTGGCGTGTCCGTAGTCTGCAGTCTGGACCCATCTATCACTGGTGTTAGTGTGGTGAGGACGGCGACAGACGAGATAGGAGAGCATCGGACATCCATTCGGCCGGGACGTAATCATGTGCTTCCGTGTAAAAGGGTTACTAAAATGGTTTACATGTCAGTTGAATGAATGGGAGGATGGTCATTGTTAGTTTTAAAAACTACTCTCTTTGAGAGTTGTTTTCTGCTCTCGGAAATCTCGTCCACCCTAGCACCAATAACATTAACCAACGTGTCCGTCTAGCTGTATGATTCCTGTTTTGAATTTAACCCCAGCTACAGCACAACTAGGGCAGGGACATTGCACCTCTGTTATGGGATGTCGACACGGTAGCTCTCTACCATGCAATATAACTAGTGCGCGACTGCAATGCAACTGCAATATGACTATCACATGCGAGAAACTCACGAGCCCCAGTAGCATTCGTGACTCCGTGACAGTGACGAATTGGTAAGACTCGTGACTCCGTGACGGCGGCGAGCGAGTAATGCTCGTGATGTCTGCGGCAGGCCCGGCGCGGCACCACGCCCGGAGTCGGCCTTAACGGCCCACTGAGAAACTGGAGTGTGGTGCCGACCGGCGGCGCTGCCACCAGCGCTGAGCGGAACGGCCGCGCGCGCTGCGCGGCCGGCCGGCGCCGCGTCAGTCGTGCAGCCCGCCGCCGACCGAGCGGCCGCGCGAGCCGCGAGCTGCCGGAGCTGTGGCGGCGCGCGCTGTGACCGGTGTCGGAGGCAGGAGACGCACCATGCCGACAGGAGTGGAGCGCCAGCCGCCGGTGGCCGCCTCGGCCGCGGGCACGGCGGCGGCGGGACAGCACATCAAGCCCTCCCACTTCTGGTCGTCGTCGTTCGCGCCGCCGTCCGACTACTGGGACCACTCCCAGTCGCACAGTCTGCTGGAGATCGAGACGCTGTCGGTGAGCGACCCGCGCGGCGCCGGCTACGCCAGCCTGCCGCCGGCCAGCGTCCGGCCCGCCCAGACCCTGGAGCGCGCCTCAAAGTCGTCCAGCCTCAAACGGCTCTGCGGTAAGGGCGTGACGAGGATGGGCTCCTACCTGGAGACGCTGCACCGCTCGGCGCGGATCGCCGACATCCCAGAGAGCGCCGAGGAGGGCTCCGAGGAGGTGGCCGGGGCGGAGGGGACGCCGGTGCGCGCCCCTCCGCCGCCGCGGGTCACCGGCCGCCGGCAGGGCCGGGCGCCGCTGCGGACCGCGTTCGGAGGTGTCGCCGACGGTCCTCCGGCGGTGCCGGCGGGAGGAGGGTCTCCGACAGGACAGGAGCCGAGCAGCTCGGACGAGTCCTCCGAGGACAACAGCCAGGGCGCCGGGAGGTCGCCGGTGCCGTCCTCGCACATCTACATCGACATGCCGCCGCGGCGGTGGTCCGCCCCCGCCTGGAACTGCGCCTCAGGTGAGGGTGGTGTGCCGCCATAACTGGGCCCGCAGGGACACCGGTGGGGTCATCTTCTCTCCCGACGAACAAACATTGGTGTTTTAGAGAGCCACCCAATCTGAGTAACATATATCGACTTTGGTGCCGAGCTGCATGGAAGCTTTCTTCCGCATTGCAGTAAACCGAATGCATAAATTACATCAACAATAAGAAAGGAGGAAGTTATCACAATGCGCTAAGTGGTTAACGTTTACAAAAGTGAGTTAACAAGCTTTCACTTCTATATCTGCTTCAGCCATTTGGAAATGCATTGAGCCGGCCTGACAATGGTACTTGAAGAGAAAAGTGGCTTAAGTAATTACAGTTCTGGGACAGGGATTAATCAGTACGCCACATGGCGTAATTTTATGGCGTTTTCACGGCCGAACAGAGCCGCTTTCTCATTACGCTCAGACAAACCTCCTCGTCACTATAAATGATAATGGGTATGTGACTTTCGTACCACTTCAGTAGCACGCTATACATATGTGCATAAAGCATGTTTTCATTCACATAATCATCTATTCCGATTAGTTAGAGAGCCTATACATATGCAGGATGCAGTCCGTTTAGTTTTTAGCCACCATTGGCCATATTCCGCCATATGCCTTCAGTGTGATTTATACGACGTCCGTCATCACCCAGTTTGGTTTACTATCGCGCTGCACGTGGCCCTGCCGTGGGCGGGGCGCCGGTAATGTGCGGTTTCGGGTGACCGGGCCGGGCACTGATGACCGTCCCGGTGACCTCTGGTGACCCGCCGGTGACCTCCGCGGGTCAGCCAGATCGCAGGCCGCCGCACAGTGTGGCCGAAGACCAGTTTAGCGCGAATTTAATCCCAGCGCCGCTCGGATCCACTGAAAATGGTTCTCTGGTTCCAAAACTGACATTTACCCCTCGCCGGACCTATTGGTTTTCAAAATACGCGCCGGCCGAAGGGGGGGGGGTACGACCCCCGTCGCTGTTTCGCCCCTGATGAAACTAGAGCCTCGCGGAAAAAAAAACGAGCGTGTGTGCCGTTACGAGACGCAGCAACTGGTATCCGATTTTAAGGTCTCTGGTTAACCTGTGACCTCTGAGGTCAGGTAGAGTGGCCCAAGGCACGGATTCGTTTTTTATTAATAACTTCGCGAAAAAAATGCCGCAGAGCCGCAATTTTGGCATCATCGTGTTCGCCTCGCTCAGGTGCGTCGAATGGTATACTTTTTGTTCGGCTTAAGTCAACTTAAGGTGTTGACCTCGGGTCAAGGTCAAGTTAGAGCCCCCCAGATCACGAAGTTGGTCGAAGGAGGTCATGTTGCATATCATTCGATTCGGCAGGTCTTCCTGAGTCCATTGGTGGCTTTCCCGACTCGCTAGCTCAATTTGATCGGGAGTTATTGACGAAAAACTCTTATTACCCTAGTGACGTCATAAATGACGTCACGTAAGGCCAATAATGCAAAAGTGAAGCATCGGACCTTGCAAGGAGTGCATGAAATCACGATTCCGTGTGCTTGAGATAGTTAATTAGGCTGGAGCCTGTTCGGCCGCGCCGCCCCCGACCCTGGTCAGGTCACGCCGGGCGGCCGACTAGACATGTTCAAAGCTGAATTGACGGCAAATAGGCAAAAAGTGGCAGCTGAAACTTGCTCGCTTATGTTCAGAAATGTGCGGAGAGTTCAGCCATGCCCTATTCGTCATATCCATTTTTATCCATTTTGACATTTTCCAACTTCTTTATGAAATACTATCGTGAGAACGATACACATGCAAGGCTCCTGTTCTAACTCATTAAACTCATAAACCATTCATTGAAAAGCTACCATGATAGCAGAAACAGCTTCATCATGAATTGTGCTATCCGGTGATATGCTATTTTCTCATATATCTTCTCGAAGCTTCCGTAAAATTTACATTGAAAACTGGACATATTTCTCAGTACCATAGCCCGATTTCAGGAACCGGAGCGTGGGTCTACTTTCGGCAGGGATATAAGTCCTCAAATGATAAAGTGGCTTAAAAATAAGGTTCTATCCGATAACTTTGGGCAATTTCCTACCCATTGATAGGTATAAATAACAGTTTATCGAAAGTCGGGTTTTTGATTAAATTCGCGCTAATCTGGTATTCGGCAAGACCGTGCGCCGGCCGGTGCCCTGCTGGAGCTCTCTCGCCATCCGACTCCGGCTGCCAGCCGCGGCACTAAACGGCCACTAATCGCCGGCTCGTCAACTGCAGGGCAGCTCGGCCGGCCGGCCGGATGGCACAGTGACCCTGTTTTGGGCGCGGAGCGCAGCCGGTCCGGCCGGTCCCACATGACGGTCATGTGGCACCGACATGTGTTTACTAGAGAGAGCCGCCGTAACATGGCGATCGGTGTCGCTCCGGCTGTCACTCCGGTGTGATGAGAAAGTTATCTCTCATGCTGACCTGGAACTCAGCCGACATACTGACCAGTCACCACTGACTGGAGTTGCAGCTCACAAGACAACCAGCTTCTTTGCGTGCCGCGCTAGCTGAGCTTATATCACCGCTGGATCTTGAAATGACAGCCGTGGACCTTGTCAGTCATCTGAATGACATTGAATTTCCGCTCTATTTGGAGTCCGAATCAGATAGGTGCACTGCCCGGGCACCTGTTACCGCTGTTAGACACTGATCCATTGTCCGTCAACATTCACGAGAGCACCCCGTGAAGGACAGACAGCTGTAGCAGTGACCGAAGTCCGGCGCACTTCTATCGGAACGGTGCTACGATATATCGAAGCATTGTTCCGATCAGCGTGACAAGCTCTTTGTTATGATACCGGGAGACATGGTCTGTTTAGTGTTCCTTCGGTTTGCGCAGAGCTCAGGAAAACGAGAGAAAACGAGAACTACATCACAAAAACGAACGATAACAAGCATCGTTTAAGCTTTCATGTTATTCCGTTACTTCTGAGAACAACTCCATATTTGGGCGTTGCTGTACCGGAGGAAGAATGCTTAAACTGGCGAGGGCTTGCTGGATGGCATGTCATTCGTGACGCGGCCCCTATTTCATGTTTTGTATTCATGTGTGCCCTGTCACTATTGCGGTAAAGCTGCGATGGAGCATAGTTGATTATATAGGTACCTAGGTACCGTAAGTTGTGGGAAAAGGCGTATTCCACAGATTGCGGTTATGGATGGTAAATATTCCAACGGCATGCATATAGATAGATACAAAATTGATGCATGGTCAAGGCAATACTGCAATCCTTCATAGTAAGCTGTAACACTGGAGCTCGATGTATCAAGAGTATGTGGGCATGCGAGTTCGGCCACGGCTCCGTTCCAGTTTATATCGCAGTCCCCGTCCGACTACCGTTCCTGGTGTTACCGTCCGGTCGCTAGTTGTAGTTTCCGGCGTCACCGCCGCCGCTAATGGCTGCTCCAAACGCCGCTGAGCGCCCTGACCACCACCGCCGCCCGCCGCTGCTGTCCTGGTGGTGGTGGCCCGTTAGTGAGCCATTAGAGGCGCGGGCGGGCCGTCACCGCCGGCCACCGCCGCCCCAGACCGTCACACGGGTCCCACGGGTCCTTGAGGGCTCAACTTGGACACACATAGGTCCATACTCCACAACCAAGTCCGTGCGGATACATACGGATCATCGGATCTCCCAAGGGCCCATGATGGTCCCATATGTCACACGTGGGTTTCACGTGTCTCCATGACAATGGGTCACCGGTGACCGATATGTCACGTCGACACGTGTGTGGGTCACGCGATTCCCACGGCCGATGGCTGGAGTCCGCTGGATTCCGCTGGACCACACTGGACTCAGCCCGCCGAACATGTACTTCATGGAAAGATTTTTGAAACTGCACAGCGTGTGAATGCACTGACATTTGAAGAAGGCCGGCCTGAATGCTACCGGATTAAGGATTATCCGTTTCGCGCCCAAGGCCGATTTTATTATGCACAAAAACTGAGCTCTGCAACTGCAACCTCGAACGTATCTGCAGTAAACTATCACTGGATGCAACTGAAGCGCTCATTATATGTGCTTAAAAATGATTAATCTGACAGCCAAATGATGTGGCACATTTTATGTGGTTTTTAACCAGTTGCGTTCACTTCGGCGACCTTGGGCTGGGTGCTCCGACGTACTGAAGACTCACAATTTCGACACGAATTCTACTGGTCGAGTAGCAAGCATTTGGGACGGTCACATGTCTATAAATAGGGTAGCCTGGGGCAAGACGCCCCAGATAATTTATTTTGCTACATAACTTTTGTCCTACATCACCTGCAAGGCCAAATTTGAGCTCAATGCGTTCTTTGGATATTTTACTTTAAATTCCACCCCTCAAATTCATTCACTTATGATCGAACTCCCAGCTATGAAGTGATTTGTGAAGTAACTGCAAATGGGGCATTTTGCCCCAACCCCAGGGCAAAACGCCCCACGGCCCGGGGCAAGAAGCCCCAGACTCTAGATTAAAGATTAAACATGCTAGTTGACCAAATCTTATATGAGAGGTCCGTTAGACCTTGGGAGGCACGGCACTGAAGTTAGCACCTTCCATCCTATCAGGTGTTCAGCTATGACACTATTGTATGAGCAGGTTTTTACCTGCCTCATAAGGCTGTAAACTTAGGGGAGAGACGGTCGTCCCAGTTTACATCATCCGATCGTGGTGATCGGGGAGCGTATTCTGTTCCGAGCACTCGTCAGCCACCAGGGCCCTTCATGTCGCCCTCGCTTCCTCGTCTTCCGTCTTCCTCCAAAGCCTTGCGCCGATGAGTAGGAGAGTGTATTTACAAAATTTCATATTTCACTATTGTACATAAAATACGGACGATAGACAGTATACCAATATGCCCGCAGGCGCGGCGAGAAACAAGCTCAACGTATGCGTCACCGTCCGGCTGCCGGGAGAGCCCCTACCGCGACCTTTGTTCACAGTCATGACGTCACGACAATGGGTTCCTAAACGTACGGGCAGCGGCCGCCTCAGGGGTGCCGCCGTGA